GACAAAAATGATTTATTAAGTCAATGACAACCAAGATGCATGAAGCTACCTAATGGTCAGGTAGTTTAAATTAATTTTAACCACTGTCTGTGATCTTGTTGTGTAACTCAATATAAAAATGCAAGTTCCTTCAATTATATGTTCATTGATATAACTGAAATTATATAAGCTAAATCTACTGAGGATTTTTATTTTTGAAAAATAATCTGATGAATTCAAAGCCATAAAACATGAAGGGGTGAGCGAATAAGGAATCTGAAACAGATGGCATCTGATTTTTTTTTTCCCTGAGTCCATCTTGAATGCAATCCCAATAATGTCAAAATCCAATTTAGCTCTCCAAATAAGTAATCCACAAAACTGAAAACGGTAATTCTGAAGTAAATTCATTTTTCCCCTCCCAGCGTCTCAAAGTTTCTATATTAGGCAGAAATGAGTAGAGATAAGATAGATGTTAAAAAGAGAAAAACTATCATTCCACAAATTCTAAAGTTCTTTCATGAAAACCTACTTCTTCTTTTCTAAGGCCATTGAAGCAGTTGCTACCAAGATTGATGATATTAAAATCTGTCTATGATATCAGCCGTTATTTTCTTTATATAGTGATTATTTATCCTTATTAGAGACCAAATCTTATCTTCAGAAAGTAATACACTTTAAAATATGAACAAGCTCTGGAAGAATATTCATTTGGTTTGAGTAAAGCACTGCTTGGCATTTTTAAAACATTTCCACGGTAACTGTTTCACTACTAATTTGGCAGCATTGATAAAATGAACTGTACTTTGTTCCTTATATGATTCTCCTATATCTTCCCAATCTTTCCTGAAACTTTCTGAGAATATCCAAGAGATGTATATTAAAGAAAGGTTTAGTCATTTTTAGGTTTCCTGAGAAGTAAATTTCCTAACAGACAACTGTAAAGATCCTCGGAATGGCCACATACTTTGAGTAGAAAAGGTCACTGAGAAAAGCATCCTAATGGTTTGTAATGTTGCCTACAACTTAGATCTTTTAACTCTAATAGCTAGTATCCTATCACATATCTCAAAGTAAATCTAATTTAGTAATAAGTTAAAGTTCTATCAAAATACAAGGGGAAAAAAATGGGAGCTTCTGATGGCTTTACCAAAGCAAGAAAATACAGCCTCGGGGCACTGGGTGGCTCAGTTGGTTAAGTGTCCGACTTTGGCTCAGGTCATGATCTCCGGGTTTGTGGGTTCGAGCCCTGTGTCGGGCTCTGTGCTGTGTTGACAGCTAGTTCAGAGCCTGGAGCCTGTTTCAGATTCTGTGCCTCCCTCTCTCTCTGACTCTCCCCTGTTCATGCTGTCTCTCTCTCTCAGAAATAAATAAAACATTAAAAAAAAAAAAAAGAAAAGAACATACAGCCTCAATTTTAAGATTCAAAAGACAATGCAAAAATGATGACCCAGGAAGACACAGCTTATATACATACTAAAGGCTTTATACTCTCAGAAAATCCATTTAGAAAGTTGAATAATCTTACAAAAAATCTACAACTGTAGCAAAAACATAATCTCAATTATTTTTAAAAAATAGTATACTTTAGGGGCTCCTGTGTGGCTCAGTCGGTTGAGCGTCCGACTTCGGCTCAGGTCATGATCTCATGGTTCGTGGGTTTGAGCCCCGCGTTGAGCTCTGTGCTGACAGCTCAGAGCCTGAAGCCTGCTTCTGATTCTGTGTCTTCCTCTCTCTCTGATCCTCCCCTGCTCGTGCTGTCTCTCTCTCTCAGAAATAAAATAAAAATATTTAAAAAAAAATAGTATATTTTAGGGGCCCCTGGGTGGCTCAGTTGGTTAAGCATCCGACTTAAGCTCAGGTCATGATCCCATGGTTCCTGGGTTCAAGCCCCGTGTTGGGCTCTGTGCTGCCAGCTAGCTCAGAGCCTGGAGCCTGTTTCAGATTCTGTGTCTCCCTCTCTCTCTGACCCTTCCCTGCTCAAGTTGTGTGTCTCTCTCTCTCAGAAATAAATAAAACATTTTAAAAAATTACAAAAAAATAAAAATAGTATACTTTATTAATAATTTAAAATATATCCATCCATTTATCAATTTGACCAACATTTATTTGGTGTCTGTTATGTTGTTGCAGTGGCAGATGAAATTTCAGATAATATTTCTACCTCAAAGAGCATGTAATATAATCGGAGGGTTCTTTTTTTTTTGTAATGTTTGTTTATTTTTGAGATCATGACCTGAGCCAAAATCAAGAGATGGGCATTTAACCAACTAAGCCACCCAAGTGCTCCATAGTTGAGAGTTTTATTTATTAAAAAAAAAAAAAAAGTTCAACTCTGTTCACAGAGACATAGGAAAGAAATTTATTTGAAAATTTCTCTTAAAATATGCAAAATCTATAAGCCACTCTAAAAATTGATACTGAATTACAAACTTTATACCCACTTTTCAGACATAAAAAAATCTTATTAAAGCAAATTATTTGACTTACACTCTGAGGATAAAGTACGTTTAAAAATTAAAAATTATTAACTACAATTTACATTACAAAGCAAATTATTTGATAATCTGACATAATAGGTTACATATAACTATATCATTTTAAATCTATAAAATGAATCAACATAAAGACTCACTGTTTCTGAGATTTAGTTCTATATTCTCATCATGAATGATTTAAAGACAAAAAATTCAGGGGCGCCTGGGTAGCTCAGTCAGTTAAGCGACCGACTTCGGCTCAGGTCATGATCTCACTGTTCGTGGGTTCGAGCCCCTCAATGGGCTCTGTGCTGACAGCCAGCTCAGAGCCTGGAGCCTGTTTCGGACTCTGTGTCTCCCTCTCTCTCTGACCCACCCCTGCTCATGCTGTGTCTCTCTCTCTCCCTCAGAAATAAAGAAAACATTAAAAAAAATAAAGATAGAAATTCATTCCATTTTCATTTGTTTTACAGAATATTATACATAAGAATTCTATAAGTACTGCTAATAGTTTAAGTCTAATTAATATGAGTCATGCTACTGTTGTTGATGTTAATCTTAAAATTACAACTACTTTATAGTTTATGCCCCAATTCTCTCCAAAGGCATGTGAAGTAAATTAAAATGTATATATGTTATACATATGTAAGTGATGAATTACTATACTGTACACCTGAAACTAATATAACACTGTATGTTAACTGGAGTTAAAATAAAAACTCTAAAAAGATTTATATACACTACCTTTATTTTTATTTGTGAGAGAGGGAGAGAGAGAAAGAAAGCATGTGTGAGTAGGGGGAGGGCAGAGAGAGAGGGAGAGACAGAATCTGAAGCAGGATCCAGGCTCTGAGCTGTCAGCACAGAGCCCATCTCAGAGCTCAAACTCACGCACGAACTGCGAGATCGTGACCTGAGCCAAAGTTGGCGGCTTAACGGACTGAGCCACTCAGGCACCACTGTACACTACTCTTTAAATGTCTTTCTATCAATCTACACTAGACACACTACAAATCTGAGAAAAACCTGAGAGAAACAATGTTGCTCACTTCAATAGTGCATATGGTTTATTTTTTAGAGTTTAAAGAAAACAACTGATCATTGAATTTCCTGCTACTTATGATCAATTGCTACAAGTCATTGAAAGTCCTGTTGTATACATATGCTTTTCCAGTATTATCCATTCCTTTCCTGTCTTAAACCTCATTCCACAAAACTGGGCTACCTTGACTCTGAGAGATTAATGATAATAACCTATCTTTCAATTAGAAGGTGCTTCCATTTTAAGTAGATTTTTCTTTAAATACAACACACACATACTCTTACAATACTAGTAAAAATATTTTACTCATTTTACTTATGAAGAAACTAAATCTCTGGCAGGTCCCATGACTTGCCCAAGGTCAAAAACTAGCCAAGTGGCACACACAGTCTGGGTTCAATCCCAGATTTACCTACCTCAAAGCCAATACTTCCACTTGACCACAATTATCTCCTTAAAAGATTAAGAGACAGGCTCAAAAGCAGAGGATCTTCTCTGAACGTTTACATATCTTTTCTGAGAGATCTATCACCACACAGTACCTACAATTCAGTCGCTAACTGAAATATAAATGAAGAGGGTCTTTCTGCTTCATTTAAACTAGGACAGGCTTACTGGCAGGTAAGAAACAGAATGGAAAAAGAGGCTTGCCTCAACATGTCTCGCCTAGACCTCTGTATCTATATGGTTCCCCCAATCCATTTTTTACAAATACGCATATCTACCAAACAAGGCTATGCCCGACTAGGCTGTAGTCGGGTGCTTTTCCGTACTGCACTTTTCGAAGACAATTTATAACATTTAATGTCGAGCTGGGAGACCTGGTTCAATATGCCATTCTGGCACTTTCCAAACATCTGAAGTACCATTTAGGGGCAACGAATCCAGTTCCACCCTTTCATATAGGTTGTGATGCTTTCCCACTTGGGGGTACCTATCCGGCAAGGACTCTCGGGCGAGAAAGCAGTAAAGGCAGAAGTGGAGAAGCACACGGAAGTTGGGTGGAGGGAGGTCTCCTTACCCACTCTTCTGCCCTAGCTCCGCCAAGGGCGGCTCCCCGCGGTGCCCAGCCGACTCACAAACCCCCACAACCCTGGAAGCCGTGCTCCGTTTCAGGTGGGTAGGCAAGGGAAGCAAGGAATTGCCCCAACCACTCTGACGAGGTCCATGCTCCCCTTTTGGACCCGAGGATGCTCCCCGTTTCAGAGGGAATCCTCCAGGGGGCAAACTCCCGGTCCACTCCGGCCGAAGTCTTCTGCATCCGAGGGAGCGCCTCCTCCGCAACCTCGAGCTGGCCACCCGAAACTCTCCGCCAGCGGTGTCCCCCAAACCCCCCATTCCACCCCCGCAAGCCGCCAAAGACACACACGCCGGCCTGCGCCCCACCCAGGATCTCCGCCGTCCCCCTCCCCAACCCGGAGAAGGGGCCCCCACCAGCCCCTACAGACGCGCACACCCTCAGGCTCTTGCCTCTAGGACCCCATCGAAGCCGGAGTGAGTACCTGGTCTGGCCGTACTTAGAGGCTCAGAAGGGGCGGGCGCGGTCCCCTCCCGGAGGCGCCGAGTGCTTCTCTACCCACCCGCAGTGGTGGCTTCTCTCTTTCCCAGCAGCGGGAGGGAGGAGAGGTGCGGGAGGGGAGGGGGGAAAGCGAGGAGCCGGGGGGCTATAGAAGCCGAGCCGGAACCACTAATGCTGGCCCCACCCTCGGCCCGGCGCAGAGCACCCTGGCGCTCCCGATAGGACAAACTTAAAGCAGGCAGTGAGAAATGGACACCACCACTTCCGGGTCATCCCCGCTACTGCCCCTCCCTAGCAACCGCGTGGGGTTGCTAAGCGGAAGTGCCTTCAAAGACAACCACCCCCATTTCTTTTGGAACTACCAAAAGGTAGTGCGAGTGGGTGCTCATCTTCGGCAACACCCTTTTACCTTTTGCTCCTGGCCTTAGACGGGACACACTTCGCTACCAGAGACACGGAGCCCAACTTGCTTTTCCCTTCGTCTGTAGTCCCCCCGCCAACCCTCAGTCACTATATACACCTGCTCCCTCCCGCTCTCAGTCGCAGGCCGACCTATTGGCTCTTCCTAAGGCTCGCTTTGGTCCCTCGTAGGAGTTATTTTCTGGCGATTTAGCAAGCATCTCCCTCTTGTGGATTTTCAGTTATGTTTCAACTGGGTTTAAAAAAAAAATCTTCAATGCTATGAAAGCTTTTTCAGGCACTTCCTCCTGTGACAGCCTCTGAAACCGACTGCTGAGAAAAGTTTTCTCTTCACCTATCTTCTCTGAGAATTACACGTTTGTGTACGATCTGGAAATAACCTCGCTTCAGTGGAAGGGAAAAACAACGATTGGCTGTCAATCTTGTAGAATGATCTTGATTCTTAAAAATGAGAAAAGGTCAAAAAAGGCCAGTAATCAAGCTGGGTAAGGAGGAAGATGTTTAATCCTCCACTCAAAACAAACTTTCATACCTACACTGTGGACAAGGAAAATGTTATGAGACCTCATTTATTCTTCTGTCAGGGTAATCTGGATTTTGAAAGTATTCAGGGGAAACTGTGGACTATGATAAGACCCAATATAATGAATCCTAGCTTTAGAAACATGACCCGTAACATGGGTGTCTAGGTGGCTCAGTGGGTTAATAAGAACCTGACTTTGGCTCAGGTCATGACCTCAGTTTGAGTTCTAGCCCCATGTAGGGCTCTATGCTGACAGCTCAGAGCCTGGAGCCTGCTTCAGATTCTGTATCTCCCTCTCCCTCTGCAACTCCAGCGCCTGCACTCTCTCTCAAAAATAAAAATTTTGTAAAAGAAAAAAGAAAAATGACCCATATATCTATGGCACTTAAATATTCAGAGGAATGTAGTTGGGTATTTAGAAAAAAAATTAGTACAAATCTTGGATGGACTTTCTTATCTTGGATATGTCTGCTTAAAGCAGCAAAGCTTGGGGGCACCTGGGTGGCTCAGTTGATTAGGCATCCGACTCTTGATATCTGCTCAGGTCATGATCTCAGGGTTGGTGAATTCAAGCCCTGCATTGGGCTCCTCACTTAACAGCGTGGAGCCTGCTTAGGATTCTCTCTCCCTCTCTCTACCCCTCCCCTGCTCTCTTTCTCAAAATAAATAACTTAAAAAAAAAAAAGGCAGTAAAGCTTGAGTAATTACTGAATCTGTTCTATATTCCATGGCTGTGAGTGTACTTACAACTGCTGGCCCCAATTTTATTGGTTTGATAGCCTCTTAGTCACCAGTATTGAACTGTTGTCCACTTCATCTGGGGCAGAGGAAATAAGCTTTGGTAACTTAAAAGAGAGCAGGTCTGTTGGTTTCCTGTACACATGAGACAGCATTAAATTGATTTACCCTAGACAGTTCAGCAAAACCTTTAGGAAATCACTTGAGAATCAAGTTAATAGTAGGTGGCTTACGAAGTCTAAAACATTTCAACCTTTGCTATGGACATGCATATACATGGAAGTTGCTATGGACATGCATATACATAAAAAATTTCAAATGGAATCTGAAAACATCCAGTAATTAATAGTTCTTTTAAAGAGGTACCTGACTGGCTCAGTGAGTAGAGCATGTAAGTTCGAGTCCCATGTTGAATATAGAGAGTACTTACAAAAAAACAACAAAAAAACCATGGCTGTAGGTGACAAGTTTTAAACCTAATACCATGACAAAATAGAGGATAGTATTTCAATTGCCAATAGAATAAAAAAAATTTTAATTAGGAAAACAAAACTATTGAGCCCTATGAGCAATGACTTAACTAAAACTATGGTGGACTTAGATGTATCTATACCTTAAAACAAGATTATGGTAAATGTGTTATATAGAAAGAAATACTTTATTGGGTAGTTAAGATTATATGTGGTAGTGGCCAATATAGAAATGTAGGTTCCTGTGCATCATTCATTTTTCCCATTGCCTGAGGAAATGAGTTATAAAAACATTCATTTAAATCCTCTCTTCCTACAGTTCTCTTTTATTATTCAGCCGCTTTTGCATAGGTGTATCAATAACTGATTTAGCTACTAAATGATCATACAACTTCTATAATTCTATCATTTTCAGCTTAGTCATTGCTTCGAGACCTCTAAAGTTGTACAGCAAAATCCACACCTAAAACTATGTGGGTTAACTACATTTTCCGGATTTTGTGAGCAGTACTGGAGGGATATTCTTAATACAAACCATAACTAAGACAGTGCTCTCAGATCTGGACTAGATGTCAAATAGCTTTCAAAGTCAGAACAGTTCTTTCATCCTGTAGATCATCATGGGACCTCCAGTCTTTTCTCCCCAATCTCTTGAAAGTTTTTTTCATTTTTTTTAATTGTCCCTTATAATCATTTAAGAAAATTAGGGTATCATGGGCTCCTGGGTGGTGCAGTTGATTAAGCATCGGGCTTTTGGTTTTGGCTCAGGTCATGATCTCACCATTTGAATTTGAGCCCCATATTGGGCTCCATGCTGACAGTGTGGAGCCTGCTTGGGGTTCTCTCTCTTCCTGTCTGTTCCTCCCCCGATCATTTTCTCTCTCTCTCTCTCAAATATAAATAAACTTTAAAATTATTTTTTTAAAACCTAGGGAGACTAATGTTTATTTTTTAAAAACCTAGGGAGACTGCCTGGCTCAGTCAGAAGAGCATGAGACTCTTAATCTCCGGGCCATGCGTTTGAGCTCCACATTGGTATAAAGATTATTTTAAAAGTAAGTAAACAAATAACATTTTTAAATAGTTTAAAAAAACTAACACTCAGGGGCTCCTGGGTGGCTCATCTGGTTAAGTGGCTGACTTCAGCTCAGGTCATGACCTCATGGTTGGTGAGTTCAAGCCCCACATCGGGCTCTGTGCTGACAGCTCAGAGCCTGGAGCCTGCTTCAGATTCTGTCTCCCCCTATCTTTGCCCCTCCCCAGCTCACTCGCTGTCTCTCTCTCTCTCAAAAATAAACATTAAAAAAATTTTTAAGCTAACACTCTGTTACTCAATAATTAATATTTAAGTGTTCTTAAATTAATATTTAAATACTCTAGAATTCATTGCCATCTCCAAATATAAACAATACCCAAACTAGAGTCTTAACAGTTAGTGAATACTTGGGATTGGTTAGAAGAAATGTAGCCCCAATTTACCACTTAAATGTCTAAGCAATATATAACACAAAAGACACACTTAACAAAAGGACTCACTTAAGACACATATGACATAAACAATAGAATGGTTAGCCTTAGGAAGAGAAGAATAAAGGCTAAAGATGTGACAGCTATCTTGAAATACCTAAAGGTTATAATGTGGAAGGAAGAACTTATGAGTTATTCCAAGGACAGACACAAGTATAAAAGGAGGGGAGTTAGAGAAATTATAATTTTTAACTCATAACATTTTTCATAATTAGAATCGCCAACTAATAAAACAGTTCACCTAATGAACAGCTGTAACTGGCTTTGGTTGAACAAGATGAGTTCTTGGTCAGTGAAGTTTTGATTCACTGATGATCTCTCCCACCTCCGTTTGCTATCCTCAAAGGTAAAAAGAACCATTAGGACAATGTTGGTTGGACCAAGGCCCAGCTGAACATTCAATTTTTCTAAAAGTGAATTAGCATGACACATTCTAAGTACAGTGAAATCTGTAAACAGTGTATATATACATATGGAAAGGTTCAGAAAATTTAGGCTTTATTTTCTGCTTTTTAAAAAAATGATAAGCATTTGTCATAAATCTTTGAGCACACACACAACTCTAACTATAGTACTGCTCTTCCTTGAAATTAAGTAAATGCAAAATACGTATGATCCTCACAATGGTCAAAAATTCCAGGAAAGTAGTTTTTTTTTTTTTTTTTTTTATTTCTAGGAGAGAGAGAGACAGCGTGAACAGGGGAAGGTCAGAGAGAGAGGGAGTCACAGACTGAAACAGGCTCCAGGCTCTGAGCTGGCAGTCAGCACAGAGCCCGACGCGGGGCTCGAACCCACGAACCGTGAGATCATGACCTAAGTGAAAGTCATACGCTTAACCGACTAAGCCACCCAGGCGCCCCTCCAGGAAAGTAGTTTTAATCGTTGTTTGGCAAAGATATTAACACTAGTATTAAGTTTTAATAATATATTCAAGGAGGAAAACCAGATTAACTTTGTGAAGCGTACAAAATTACAAACTTAAGTTTAATTATCTTTTTAATGTATAAATTTTATTTTTTGACTCAATTTTCAATGGAAACAGGGAGTCTGTACTTCCCTTATGTTGAGAAGAGGCTAAATTGCCAATATTTTACAAAAGTTTTGACAAGGAAGCAGATTACATGGAATCTCTGACTGACTAAAGTGAGACATCATTATATGTTGTATATTTGGAAAGACTAGGTACTTTAGGTCAAATTTTTTAGAAACAGTTGCATATCACTATTAGACTTCATTGGACACAGCACCATAAGGTTTCTCTCTCCATCAGTGAAAAACAGCAAATCAGGGGTGCCTGGGTGGCTTAGTCGGTTAAGCGTCCGACTTTTGCTTAGGTCATGATCTCGCAGTTCGTGGGTTCGAGCCCCGCGTCGGGCTCTGTGCTGACTGCCAGCTCAGAGCCTGAAGCCTGTTTCAGTCTGTGACTCCCTCTCTCTCTGACCCTCCCTGGCTCACGCTGTCTCTCTCTCTCTCTCCTAGAAATAAAACATTAAAAAAAAATAGCAA